TTTGCTGGTCAAGAAACAACCTCCACTTTGCTAATTTGGACAATGATATTGTTGGGCAAGCATTTGGATTGGCAAGAGCGCGCCAGAGATGAGATTATGCAAGTCATTGGCACAATTGGGGAGCCTGACTTTGAAAAGTTAAATCAACTCAAAATTGTAAGTATTACTCATTTAGCAGACTTGATCAATGCAAAACAAATTCTTCACACCGCGTGGCCGTGCAAATAATTCATAGTTGTGAAACAAAACCATTATTGGCTATGTTATAGCTTTCCAATTCTAATATTGACTTGTGATCACCTTAATTATATGTTTAGGTACCAATGATCTTCAATGAGGTTTTGAGGCTATATCCGCCAGGGATTATGTTTGGTCGAACACTTCAAGAAGACACGAAGTTAGGAAACATGAACCTACCTGCTGGAGTAAACCTTATATTGCCACTAATTGTGCTGCAACAAGATGAAGAAATGTGGGGTGAAGATGCAAAGGAGTTCAATCCGGGGAGGTTTAGAGAGGGAGTTAGCAAAGCAACCAAAGGGCAGTTCTCATTCGCCCCATTCGGTTGGGGACCTCGGATATGCATTGGACAGAACTTCGCTGTGTTAGAGGCTAAGATGGCAATTGCTATGATTCTAAGGCGGTATGCTTTCGAGTTGTCCCCATCTTATGCTCATGCTCCTCAAGCTGTAACCGCTCTGGTTCCTCAATTCGGTGCTCACTTAATTTTGAAAAAATTAGAGAGACATTAGATGGAGATTTTTAGTTATGTATGGGTATGTTTTTCTTTCATGTTATTCATTCATAATCATGTACGGAGTAATTTAAATCCGAGACTAGCATTTCATTGCAAAACTTAAAGTTTGTAGTAAAGTTTAGAGGTCTTTGTACTCTATAGGGTTAATTATATATGGCCATACCCAGTGTTCTAAGAGGGGCGGTGATTGGCCGCCTAGCGCCTAGCCCGCCTCGGCACTAACTAGGGCGCGTAGGTATTCCCCCTTATTTCTTTGTTTTATTTTTATTTCCTTTGAATTTTAAATATGTTACTAATAATTTTATAATATTTTGACAATAGAAGTAGCTCATATAAACATTAAATGTTATGTTTTTTCTAGTAAAATTGTCAATAATAAAATAATTAATGGATAAATGAAGAGTTTTTTGTTTTTTAGTCTCTAAAATTGTTCATTTACATACTAAAATGTTTCACTGTATTAAAAAAAATATTTTTTATTGTAGGAATATGAAACTAAATTAAATAGGAAGAGATTACTAATTGATCAAACAATGTTTTAAAAGAAAACGGAAAAACAAAATTGGGTCGGGGAAAAAAATTAATCCGGGCCATCTAACCCGCCTAGGCACTTGGTAGATTGTTTCCTCCGATTACGTCGAAATCGGGGGGCTCGGCCACTGCCTAATTACTAGGCGACGGACGCCTTGGGTTGTGTACAACACTTGTATCTGCTTCACACAAAAATAACTCAATAAGATGTATCTTTAAATATGTGTGTTTATGTAAAGAGATAAACTCCTTACACCACTTGTAGTGGTAAGAATCGTAAGATACGTATTAGGAGTTTCAAATGTTAAAAAGGACATTTTGAACTCCTAACTTGTTACGTTTGAGATAAAATTTGGGGGCTAAAAGTGGAAAATGGGAGTGGGAAGGTAAACATAGATGGAAGGTTGACGGTAAAAAAGCAAGATGGCAAGAACAAGGTTTTAAAGAGATAGAAGAGTTTAAATATAGAGGGAAGCTATGTGAGCCTCAAAAATAATATTGCCCCTTGAAGTGTTTAACAAAAAACAGTTCGGATAGGATTTGTCATCTCCATTCTACACTATCTTAGAAATTCCATAAAACTATTTGGAATCAATAATGCTTGATGTACGTGTGGGTCACACGTTGGGTTATACACATGTCTTTTTTGTCAATCGTTTTTCACTTTTGCAAAACAAGTTATTCTTTGTGGGTTGTGGCAAAGACAATTCAATTTTTCGTGATAGCCGATAATTGTTTTATGAGTAAGGAAAAAAATTGTTTTTTGCACAAACAAAAAGCGTAACCCAACGTATACATCAAATACTCCCTATATAAAATATATATGTTCCCATTTGAAAAGTAGGTAGATTAAGAATAGTGAAAGAGGATATAAATTATTGAGGGTATGATGGGAAGATAGTAAAATATGTGATGGAATGAATGATAAATCCATAAAAAGTAGGTGTAATAGTATATTATTTTTAAATTATTGAGGGTATGATGAGAAGATTTAGAAATGGGAAGATGTGAATGTTACATCCAAAAAAGGAAAGTGGAAAGATATGAATATTAGGGAAGGGGATGTAAAAACATGCACTTATTAGTCAAATACCCCGAATTATTTGACTAAATTACGTGAACTCGATCGTACAAAACAACAAGCGGACAAACTATTCTGACGAGATGTTAGGAATGAACATAGACACCCTCATATTTTAAAATTATCTTCCAATTATTTTGCATCAACCATAGGAGCAGACTGCACGAGTATCGGAGTAAGGATCACCCCATGTGGTCATGTGGTATAGATACAAGAATCATTTTGTTCATCCTCATCAAACCTTCCCATTCTTTCAGTTAATACTTAATAATTGGTTTATGCTACTTTTTAAAATCTTAATAAACAATTAATATATTTTCTAATTATTTACTATATATAGTTTTGAATGCATTCTTTTCTACATATCCAAGGAAGCCCATACGGTCAGCCAGTATCATTTTGGTAATTTAAATGAAATTTGCGTTCTCTACTAAATGAGCATTATTAATGCAGTTTTACCAGGGAAGAAGTGGAGTTTTCATGTCTTTTAAACATGAGTACAAGCACCATCAGTTCTCTACAAATAAAATCTTACATAAATGTTAAAACATAATTTACGGGGCTTACATAATTACAAGGGGAGAAGTGATTTTCTCATGTCTTCTAAATATGAATGCAATCACCATCGATTGTCTGCAACATTTTGACCAAAACTATATAGAAAAACACACTAGAAAGATATGCTTCAAAAGTGTAACACAAAACAACAAGGCTCCAAAAGAGAATGAGGTGACACAGATGACATCAACACCAATGACATCGACACTATTGACATCGACCCAAATGACATTGACACAAATGACACCAACGCTAATGACATTGACACAAACCTTAAACATTCAGGTCTAGGTTTAGAATATTACTAAAATGCACACGAAATAGTGTTTAAAGTTTTTGTATGACATCGAACACACTCATAGAGTCGGACTCCAACTAGGAACCAAGTCTCCCTTAATTGCCAATTGAAGCGTCAACATCAACATTGACTAAAATGTTGGAGGAATGAAGACAAGATCTATGCCAAACGGATGATCACGGATTGATAGGCGTGTTTCATCAAGGATGTGCAGTTCAAGCTCTTTCAAAATTTGGAAAAGTTGGTGCTTAACGGCTAGACATGTGCACCATATGCTTCCACTTCTCAAAGGGAGCAATTGTTAGAGCAAATATTTGAAGATTTAATTGTACATTTATTGGAATTGATCATAGAAGTTAATAATACATTTAGAAGACTTAATGTTTGATATTATGATGTTTTTATGTATTAATTAATATGATAATTAATGTAGTTAAGAAGGAAGGGGGTTTAATTGATTTGAGTTGCCCCTAGTCTTTTTGATGGATCTGGAACCGTCACAACGGATGAAACTCTCATACCAAACTGTCAACAACGGATGAAACACTCAAGGGGGCAGTAATAACTTCTCCTATAAATAGAAGTGAATCCCAATGTAAATCACATTCATTTTTACTTGAATATACAGAGAATACTACTCTTGATTTCTAACCTAATTAATAAGAGAAAATCTATTTGTACAAGAAATTTATACACATTTCGCACACATTGTACGTAATTGTCTGTGCACATAGACAATGTGAACACTCCTAATTGCATGTGTACACAGACAACTCATGCAGTATTCTCCGCGTGCACAAAAAATTACGTACAAACATGTACAAAATGTGTACAAGAAGAATTGCATGTTTATTTAGTAAATTTTTGATTTTCGTATTATTCTTGTATGGAACCCGATAAATATATATTTTTGTTTTAATTAGTTTTAGCTTACGAAAAATAGTTTAAATAGAAATCATATATCTACTTTTATGATTAAACTTAACGTAAATTTATCAATTACATTTGTTTGAGTGTTACTACGTACATGTCATTTTTTCATTACTGCTTTTTTCATGAATATTACTAGTACTAAATTAAATTCAAAAGATAAGAATATGATTTAATTTAAAAATGACATAATGAATGACTAGTTCATAGTGACTCGTTATCTCGAGTGATTTGTCATTCTAAAATACACTATAATGACTAGTTCACAGTGACTCGTACAGAGCAACTAGTCATATTTTTATTCAAAAACATAACTAATCGTATTTTTGTACGGATAAACATTATTAATAATATACATGTCATTTTTTCATTGGGAAAACTGTCAAATTGGTCCTCGTATTATCACGAAAAAGTCAATTAAATCCTCGACTTTTTAAAAAATCAATTAAATCGCCGAACTTTGTAAAAACGTTCAATTGAGTTCATTTGCAGGTTACTTGGCATGTCAACAGGTCATCTGCTGACATGGCACACACGTGGCAGCCCAATCAGCAATGACTTTGCTGACGTGGCGCACATGTGGAACCCTAGTCAGTCATTTAATGATGACTTGGTGCACACGTGGACCGTCACGTGTGCGGCACATCAGCAGGTGACGTGATGACATGACAAGCAACATTTAAAATGGACTCAATTGAATATTTTTACAAAGTTCTTGGATTGAATTGATTTTTTTAAAAGTACGAGATCCTAATTGAATTTTTAAAGTACGAGAACTAAATTGGCGGTTTTCCCTTTTTCTAATTACTAAAACTTGCAAGGTCTGTATTTGGGCTTTTTTGAGCATAAACGCTGCATTTTACCGTTTTGCTTTGCTGTGGGAAAAACGGCGTTTCAATCCAATAATGCCCCACGATAATAGCTTTATAGGCCGACTGATTGTCTGATTGAGAGTGAACTTTATCTATAAACCCGGTAAAGGCATCAAAATAATCCAGAATCCTGCAAAGGATTGATACAGAAACTATGTTTAGTTCACCAATTATCATATGTTTGGCAGTGATTATTGTATGTGCATATTACATATGGAGGCTTTTGAAGTGGGCTTGGTTTAAGCCAAGGTTTCTGGAGACTTGCCTTAGAAAACAGGGTCTTAAGGGCAGCCCCTACTCCCAACCCCCATACGGAGACATACCTCAGCTCATAAGAAGCATCAAAGAAGCCAAGTCCAAACCCATCAATCTCTCAGATGACCCAATCCCCAGAATCCTTCCCTTCTTTCTTGATTCCATTAACAAATATGGTATGTCTCACTCACTCTGTCCTCTACTATTTAAGAACGAACTGTAAATTTTTGCTTCTTAAATTGTTTTAATAGGTATGTATCCTCAAAGTAGCATTCCTTGGTATAACATGTGGGTTGGTTAAATATAGTTGCTTATTAGTAGTATAGATCAATCTTGAAGTTTGACAAGGATTAATCACTAATCAGAGCCTTAGAGGTAAGAGCAAGTAGGAATTTTATGTAAATTTCTGTGTTCTAAATATACCAATTTAGTCTTTCAACCACACAAGAGAACCAAAAAAGATTAGCCTAATGTTACTAATGAGTTTTGGGTGTATGTGTGAGAAGTAAAATAAAAATTTGGCCTTTGTTGAATCGGAAGAGTTGGTAAAGTCTATTTTAAGGCCTTCAAATTTTCTATATTGCCGACCGGAAGTATCGAAAATATTACAAGGCTGACTCCATATTCTAAATATATACTACCTTTGTCCCGAAATGAAGTTCTCGTTCACTATTCACTTGGTCAACTTAAATCACTCTTAATCTTTTATCTTATACGTACTATATCAAATTTTTATCAAATTTAAATTTTCTTGATCAAGCTTTGAAGAGGTTTTAACGTAGTTTCTGAATATGTAAATTTTATTTACTAAAAATAATATGAGTGTGAACTGGGATCGAGTTGCTTCATCATCGGTCAAACATTGTAAACCGAAACGGGAACTTCTTTACGGGACGGAGGGAGTATAAAGTTGGAAAAACTATGGGCTCTAATAATCTTGATTCCGCCCTGCCATCATATTAAAATCTTGAATTATTTCTTAACAAGCCAATGATACGAGAAGCAGTCCAATATTTTACTTGTTAGTTTGTTGTTTTATATTTTTCTAATAAATGGTCAGGGGCGAGTAAATTAAGATGATATGAAACAACAAAATGGTGATTTTCTTGCAGGTGAGAATTGCTTTGTATGGCTTGGACCAAAACCATTAGTAATAATCACTGACGCTGAACTTATAAAAGAGATACATAGTAAACAGGATGTTTATAGAAAAAACACTCATCCCAATCCACAGACCAAACTGTTGGCTGAAGGACTTGTGTTACTTGAGGGAGATAAATGGGCCAAGCATAGAAAGCTTATCAATCCTGCCTTCCATTCCGAGAAATTAAAGGTTCCTAATTCATTTTTCTGATATTTGTGTAGTTTTAATATATTTTTTGTATCATATATTGTCATCATCATCATTACCCCAATGCCGCAAAGGCTCCCATCTACGATGGGATAAGGGGGTCGGATGTACGCAGTCTTACCCCCGTACTAAAGCACAGTGAGACTGTTTCCCGGTGACCCATAGTGAAATTCGCGTCGAAAATTTACTGACTACTGCTTCATAATAAAGAAGCGCAGACAGTTTAGTGAGCCATTTTGCTTTATTCTATCATATTCCCAAGCCAAAAAATAGTGAGTCTTTGGCTCCATTACAAATGATGGAAAGTTGTATCATATATTGTGATGATAGAATTTTTTTCAAATGGTCTTTCTTGTGTAGCATATGCTACCAGCATTCTACTTGAGCTGTAATGAGATGCTGGCTAAATGGGAAGATGTTATACCGGAGGGAGGATCAGGAGAGCTCGATGTGTGGCCTTACCTTGAGAAAATGAGTAGTGAAGTGATTTCTCGCACTGCGTTTGGGAGTAGCTATGAAGAAGGGCAAAACATATTTGAACTTCAAAAAGAACAAGCCGAGCATGTAATGGAAGCTTCCCGCAAACTGTATATCCCGGGGTTGAGGTAGGATCAATTAGCCTGTTTAGCTTCTCGTGTTGGACACCAATCTTTTTTTGCATTCCTTGCCTGATGTGTGTTTGGTTGATCAAACATGGATCACAGGTTTCTGCCAAGTAAAAGGAACAGAAGAATGTATGAAATCGAGAAAATAGTTCAAACGTCTATAAAGAGCATAATTGATAAAAGATTGAGTGAAATGAGAGCTGGAGAGCCTAGTAAGGAGGATCTTTTGGGAATACTATTGGAGTCGAATTGTAAAGAAATTGAAGAGCACGGAGATCAAGATTTTGGCATGACATTAACAGAAGTCATTAATGAGTGCAAGCTTTTCTACTTTGCTGGGCAAGAGACGACTTCTGTTTTGCTTGTCTGGACTATGATTTTGTTGAGCACTCACGGTCATTGGCAGGAACAAGCCAGAGAGGAGGTTATAAAGCTCTTTGGGAAGAATAAGCCTGATCTTGATGGACTGAATAAGCTAAAGACTGTAAGCTCTTTGTAACTGCCATTTCCCGGTGTCATAAGTAGAACCCGTTTAGTAGCAGTTCTAGTTCCTGTCCTAGATGGGATTATTTACTTTATCCGTGACACTAGAAATCCATCTAATAGAACCGGAACTGGGATAGCTGGTTTTACTACCTGAAATCCAGAATGGGACCCGGACATGTTTTTATTCTGTTCGGTCCGGTCCCCCTTTTCTGTTTCCCAGTTCCAAAGTGGAACCTTGTCCACCCACTAGCCCTATGTCACCCCCAGGGCTTATTTTCAGCATCCCCAGACCCAAGCAGCTAACACTTATTCTACTAAAAAATCTTGTTTATGTGATATATACAGGTAACAATGATTTTGAATGAGTCTTTGAGGTTATATCCACCTGTGGCAACTGCGGGACGAAAGGTACATAAAGACACCACATTAGGGAAGCTAAATCTACCGGCTGAAGTTATGTGCTTAGTACCAACAATCCTAATCCACCGCGACAAGAAGCTTTGGGGTGATGACGCAACGGAGTTCAAACCAGAGAGGTTTAGCGAAGGAGTGTCGAAGGCAATGGGAGGGAAAATGTCATTTTTCCCGTTTGGATGGGGGTCCCGAGTGTGCATTGGACAAAACTTTGCCATGTTAGAAGCGAAAATGGCTCTGGCAATGATTCTCCAGCGCTTCTGCTTTCAGTTGTCTCCGTCCTATACTCATGCCCCATTCGCAGTAGTTACTGTTCACCCCCAGCACGGTGCTCCCTTGATTTTGCAAAGACTGTAAAATCATAGATGCTGATTGTAAAACTTTGCCATGTTACATCAATTAACAAATACTAATAGAAATTCGTGCTTCAATGATTCTAATTATGCACAATTTATGCCCTCTAGTATGCTTGCAATTTCAGGGATGTAGGCTGCAGTACAGTGTTATCTTTCATAGCTCGGGTGGACATGGGTCGGTTCCAGTTCCACACTGGCCCATCCCCAGTCTCAAATCCCCCCCCCCCCAACTGGACCTGAACCAAACTAGTTCCAGTTTGGTCTCAAACGAGTGAGTCGGTTTTGGGTTTGCGGTTTCGGGTTTGATCCAGTCCATTTTAGAGGAACTCGGTGAGTCGGTTTCGGGTGCTTGTTCGGCTCCTTTTATTTCAGGTTCTGGACTGTGTGTTTTACCCGCCCCGTTCTGGAATTCGGTCAGGTCCTATGTCACAATAACATGCTAACACCAAGTTCTGTTTTGACTTCCACACCAAATTGTGCCATAGAAAGAGAATTTTAGCAACTAGCTAGTACAAACTACAGAGTAGTCTTATCTTAATCTTATTGTTAACCCTTTTGTATTATTCTTACTCTAGGAACTAGGAAGCTATATTTAAAAAAAAAGTACATATATAACTAAATCAAAAGTTGGAGAATTAATGTGACTTTAATAGGGAAGTTCAGATCTTGGTCTGACAAGTATATTGTTTTAGTACGTTTGATCATCTTAACTAAATGAAATATTACTAAAAATGGTTACAAAAATTAATATATAAGATTCCATCTTAGTGGAACTTTTTAATTTATGAATAGATCTTAATGAGGTTACATATTAAGTGTGGTATTATTTGTTAAATTTTTGTTATAGAAAGGGAAACCTATCTAAGGATGATTCACTTGAACATGGAAGGATTTGAGGGGGATCACCCCCTAGACCTTCCATTTTTTTGATATATATGTAATATTTTCATAAAATGTTCATACTTTAATTAGATATAAATATGTTAGCCCTCCTTAACTTTTAGTTTTCAAAGTTAATATAGGCTTACATAATACGGAGTATTATATTTGAGCGGTCGATGGAGCCTTGAGGAGATTGATCTCGTTTGGTGCACGAAGGCTCGCGAGCAACTTGACGCCTCTGCGACTTATCTAACGACGGAGAAAAGTGGAGAGGATTTGTGATCTTCATACGCAATTTAGGTGTGCTTCAGTTGTTCTTTATTATTAATTTTTTCCTGTGATGTTCTGTCCGGCTGATTTTTCTTTGGTCGAGGGTTTGGTCCGTTCTGTTCCGTTTGTGAACGTGTTTTGGCTTCGCTTGTGATCGTGTGTTTCACAATTCCTTCTCTGACTCGGATCTAGTGTACATTTTGTTGTCATCAATAGACAAATTAAATTAGGCTTATGGAAGGATGTCAATTGAGGATGAAGAGAGCAGTGATCTAGTGTTCGATTTAAGTACCTTGGAAAAGTAAAAAAAGAGCAAGGCGGCGGCGCTCCCGGAACAACACTGCCTAAAATACTTATTGTTGGTCCAAAATAGGACGCTCGTAGGCTTTTAGGAAAGCTACGTAAGAACACTCAAGCAGAAATCAGGAAAGTAATACGAGTAAGGAAAGTAGCTAGAGAGTTTGGTAGCCAGAAATAACTTGTCTATTATTTGAATCCAACTTGCCTTATATAGGCGATTACAAATGGTAACTGCCAAACGTTATAATGGCTAATTTAATTACCATGTTAATACATAATTAATCACATAAATAAATATCGTATTAATGCCTGGCCATTACTCTTCCTTGGTTGGCTGGCCGTTGCTCTTCCCTGGCTGGCAGGCTGGGCGCTCGGGCTCCCTGGGTGACAGGATTCCGCTGGGCCGGAATCAGGCTCCTTGCTTGATCGAAGACGGGCTTCCGGTTGGGCCGGTAGGCAGGCCGTCTTGGGCTTCTGCTCCGCTGGACTTCCACTCCCTGATGGGCCCGGTCGGTTGGGTCGACCTGATATCTGATCGCTGGGTTCACTAGCTGGGCTTGCCTGGCGAGACAACAGTCGTGGGCTTGGGCCTGCTGATCCAAGTTTGGGGCCAAGTCTGATTGGGCATTGGGCCTAGTCCCATAATCCCATCACGAGTCCCCCACTCCCTTAGTCGAGTAGTAGACTCGGCTAAGAGGGAGTAGTCCAAGTCAGCCGCCAATTAGAAAATATTCACATACCAGTGAGCAATAATTGCGGATTCTTTCAAATCCACAATTTATGGAAATTTTCCAACTTTAAATAAAGCTCTCAGCTTAAAAAGGCTTCAAATTAATTCTCACAGCATCCCGGCATTCCAACAGTCAACTTTCTTCCAGACTTCAGAATCCAGGTCAGCTTCCGAAAATTCCTGAAATTCATCATTATTTTTTGTAATTATTTTCGGACTATATATTTTTTTTCCTTTTTTTTCTTTTCCCCTTTTTTTCCTTTTCTTTTCTTTTCTTTTCTTTTCTTTTCTTTTCTTTTCTTTCCTTTCTTTTTCTTTCCTTTCTTTTCTCTTCTCTCTCCTGGTTTCCTGCGTGCGTCTTCCTCGCGTCGCCCCAGCGTAGCAGTCAACCAGGTCCAGCGCTGCAAACCGGCTGGCCGCCGTCCGTGATCCGGCGGCTCCACTGTGTCGGTCCCTACTGCACCAGGCGGCTGTCCCGCGCCGCCCACCGGTGACCGACGCCGCCCTGGCAGTCCGGCAAATCTGGCCGGCCGGTCCGGTCGAGCGGGCTGACCGCCGTTTTCCCTCCGGCAGCTCCACTGGGTCGGCCCCGCCGTGCTAGGCGACTATTCCGCGCCGCCCATATGTGACCGACGCCGCCCTGGCAGTCCGGCAAATCTGGCCGGCCGGTCTGGTCTCCTACCGCTAGGGCTGAGCAAAACCCGATCCGACCCGAAAAACCCGATATTTGTTTCGGATATTATCCGAACCGAAGTGGATATCCGACCCGAAAAACCCGAAACCGAAAATCCGATTAGTATTGGGCCTAGATCGGGTGGCGGGTAGGGTTTGTGAAATCCCAACCCGACCCGCCCGAATATCCGAAATATATGTTAGTGTGTACTTTGAATATTTAAATTAATACTTGTGTTCAATTATTTGTGTTATTATTTGTGCAATTTGTATTAAATTATTTGTGTAAATTGAATGTGTAGTGAACTAGTGTGCACAATTTTTGTTAAAGTGGCATTCCAACACTTTAACTATCCAATTATAATGTGTTTTGATATAACTAAAATATCTGAAATATATTAAATTATGTAGTGTGTACTTTGAATATGTTAAATTAATACTTGTGTTCAATTATTTGGGTAATTATTTGTGCAATTTGTGTTAAATTATTTGTGTAATTTGGAAGTTTAGTGCACTAGTGTGTACAATTTTTGTCAAAGTGGCATTTAAACACTTTAATTATCCAATTATAATTTTTTTAATATAACCGAAATATCCGAAACCCGACCCGATATCCGAAAATATCCGACTTAAAAATATCCGAAATACCCGATTTGAAATATCAAAAGGGTCGGGCCTAGTATTTAAATTAAAAAACCCGAACGGGTTTAGGGTTCTCAAACCCGACCCGCCCGAACCCGACCCGTGCACACCCCTACCTACCGCGTCCGGCTGGTGCGTCTCGCCTGGGCCGACGGCCACCCCTTGCTGGTCGGCGTCTGCCAGAGGTTGGCGTCCCGGCTGGGCGCCCCTCTTGCCCATCTCTCCGGCGTCATGGCTTTCGCGCAGCGCCGCCGTCAGCCCCCTAAGGTTGACCGACGCACGCGGCTTACCCCTCCGCCTTGCCGGGCTCTCCCACCAGCCGGCGGCTCTGCCGCAGTGTTCGACGGTGACAGGCCCAAGTCGGTCGGGTCCCCACGGTGACAGGCCCAAGCCTTGGTTCTGAAAATGACGGGCCGCGGTGAAGTCTCTATTACCCGGGGCTCCGCGTTGTCCGGCGGTCTCCCCGGTGCTCTTCTTTATTCGGACGGCAAGGTGGCTGCAACCCCCCTTTTCCTTCTTGCTTGCCAATGACGGAAATTATGTGTGCGCGGGGGTCCAACCTTCTTTCATGAAGGCAACTCGCGGGTCCATCACAGGCTGCTGCCCGGCGCCCCACGCGAGCAGTCCTCCCAGCGTCCAGCTCCACCTTGGCCGCATAGAGTTGGTTGAGGCCGGCGGGCCGGCCGGTCGCCCTTCACCGGCACGGCATCGCCCCGGAAGTCGGCGGTTGTCTTATTGCTGACCGGCTTCACCCCTCATCCAGGTGGCCATGTGGGTGTGAGCCCCCCTGTTGGCGCACTCCAAGTTGACGGGCAAGCTTAACGCCTCGTATATGCTAACTCACTTTTTTTTTGTTTCTAATGTGCAGGTGGGCCCCATCCCGTTTGACCATGCAACACGGAGGGTGCTCTTCTCATCAAAACAATGGTCAAGGCTCTCACACACAAATGCAAGTTGAAGTTCAGCCCCTTTCCAAGCCATCAGACTCGGGGCTGTCGGCCATCACTGAAGGCAAGCATGGGGCGTCCATGAAACCCATTCGGGCCAGCCGTGGCCCCAGACCACGTATGCATGTGGGGAAAGTTACCGGACAGTAGGCTGAGATTCTCCCAGAGGTAGCCCCAACTAGGCGGGTCACCGTTTTCAAGGGCCGACTCCTCAATGTTCCGGACAGAGCGCGCACCCAACCCGTGGACGTGTCAGATTCTGATGATGACTCTGGCGCTCGGGAAGACCCGAATTCTTGGTGGGACCTCGACAATAGGGGGAGTACTGGCATGCTCGTGAAGTTCTGTACGCCTTTCAGTGTGGCAAGTACTTGACGCAGCATAAATTGTATGATCAGTTGGAGGGTCTCGGCCCTGACTTCTATCCATCTGTGCTAGGCCTTCCTGCCCGCATGAAGAAACCTGAGGCTGCAATAGCCCTCTTGCCCCCAGGAGTCTACCGCCAGGAGGAGGAGTCCGGTAACTCGAACGAATGGTGCTGGTTCTTTCCAAGACCTTCGGAGGACATGGTCCCCCTTGCATCCGGTCAGCAGGAGGGAGCTCAAGAGTCCGGCCAAGACTTGGTTGCTGTATTAGATGAGATTCCCGAGGTCGATGGTGATGGGCATGTCCTTCCATGAC